TTAGTTTAATAATTTTATAAATGTTTTTAATATATTTAAAAATCAATCAAATTTATATTGTTAATGCTTTAGTTTTGTTAATTCTACCCCCCCCCCCCCAATGGGTGAAGCTAAAATCAGCCTGACTTGGACCATTGCTATTTTGCCTATCAACGATATGATCAAGGCAATCAATGCTTCTTTCTCTCCATGTTTAGTACATTGACAATAGTATAATCGGTGGCTCATCTAATGAGGTCGATAAAGTGACGGATATAATCCTGGAGATCGGTTCTCCTATACTTATTCTCAATCAGAGCAAATCAGAATTCATCCAACTAGTTTCCAATAAATGCCCACCATTTTAGAGTCAATAATCAAGATCAACTAACACATTTAGCCTTCCCCGGTTGGAGGTAACTATGCCGTTTCACTTTACTGCATTCAACTCCTGAGACTCTTTGCAAGTTGGGTGATATCCTTCTTATATTTTCCTCCCATAAATCGTTTTTTCTTTTGAAATACTATTTTAATACCGCACATTCTTTATGCACTTAGGACTATCCCTGTTTTATTTCCTAATCCTTTAAGTATATATGAAACCGGAATCAAAGCACTTACCGAATAGATTCTAAATTTTAAGCTTGGAAAAATTGCTTGGGCCCGAGCTTCTTTACTAAAATTTAGCTGCATAAGATTTCCTTCTGATTTAACTTTAGCTACTTTTATCGAAAACTGCTTATTAACAAAACCTATTGTTATCGTTCACTCCATGGATGCTTCATCCTACATTAACTTTATAGAGATCTCGAATTATAATACACCCGCCACTTGCAAACAAGAGGAATGGGACACCGGTCGTACCCAGCCTCATTAAAGCTCTACTATCAATCTTGCATTTCTTCGATCGTCCTCTTTTTTAGTCACTGCTATATGGCTTAGGGCACAAGTTCCTCGAAGCTATCCCTTCTCTTAATCTTCAATTGCAATTCACTAGAAATGAGCTTACACATTACATTGCTATCCGTTTCAACTATTCAAATACTAAAGACCTTTGTTCTGGTTGCAGTTCTCATGTTGACTCGAAGGGACGGCATAGCGTCACTACCGTTCATGCAAAAGACATATCCTTAGACATAATCAATGCAGTCACATTATTTAACGATCCTAGAACCTCTCTGTCTCTTCAGATCTGAATCAAAATGTCCGAGAGCATTACCCAAATTCCTTGGGTCATTTCTTAATTCGGGACTATTCTTGTATAGATCTTAGCCCCTACTAATCTTAACGTAAACATCTTTGATGTCTAAATTAAATACTATCCGGACATACAGCATATTTTTACGCCTATTATCTCTTATACATTCATTTGTTGACCGTGCCTTATCCTCTCGAAGAACTTGATTCATCTTAAAATTACAACCTGGAGAAGGTTTTTTAACTTAGGAATAGGCCCTATTGACCTAAACAAATTTGATTACATCAGTTTCATTGGAAGTCTTCTTCCCCAAGGATCCAACCCTAACTTTTTTAATCCTTTTTACATATTTTATTTTTTTTATATATAATTTTATTACTCTAACATTTATAATTATAACATGTTTTGATTCGAATTGATAAAGATATAATATAATATAGAATTTTTATATATATAAACTGTTTAAGTGGGTTTAACAGAATTAAAAAATTCGGTTCGCTTCTTAAACGATAGGATATATGTTAGGCTACTGTTTAGAAAATTATACCGGTTCGGTAAGCTTCGGGTCCCTCATAAATATTTAACATATTTTACTTGAAAAATAGATTTATTTTTTTATCCTTACATTTCAAAAAGTTTAACAACAACACAAATAATATTAATTAATTTTTAACACAAATAATTATATAACAAAAATTTTAAAAAAGTAATTTTTATAAGTCACTTAATATTCGAAAAATCGAACTTAGAGAAATTGAAGACATCATTATTTGGTGAAATAATTTTGAACATATATACATATACATTTTTTAAGAGTATTTAAATATAATAAATACTAATACGTTTTAAAAAAAATACCTACTAAAAAAAATTCCAAAAACATCTAAATACAAATACTTTGAGGAAGACTTTTTAGAAATAGATTTTGATGATATCAAACCAATAACAATTTTTTTAGAATATTTATTAATCATTTTTTTAAAGAACTATTACGGGATTTAAAGGGATCCCTTTAAAGTTCAATTTTTTAGAGAATATCATTCAATAGCTAATCAAAAGATCTATTCAACAGGAAATCGATCTCCCCACCTTAATGGGCGAGTTTAGGTCTGGTGGGTCAGGAATATTTTTATCAAAACAAAATATTGATATGGGTATCAAATAATAGCTAATTTTAATATCTTTTGAATGAACGTAATCTAAAAATATAAGGAGAAAAACATCATAAAAAGTAAAAAACTTGTTATGTAGGATTGAAAAAAGAGGATTAAGAATTGTTAAAGAATGATATTAAAAATGGAGTAAAGAAGTGAAGAAAAATAATTGGAAAAATTAATAATAAAAAGACAAAAATGAGAAGAAAAATTATGAAAAATAAGGAGGAAAAAAACAAATATTTAAAAAAAATGACAAGGAAAAAAATTATCATTTTTTTAAAATATTTTTCCTTTTTTGATTGACATTTTTCCTTTTCTTTTTGATTGACACTTTTCCTTTTTTGTTTGACACTTTTTGTTTTTTGATCGGACGTTTTCTAATTTTCCTTTTTTGATCGGACCTTCTACTTTTATGATTAATACCTTTCCTTTTTTGAATGGGAAACCCTGTATTTTAAAAAACCTCCGCTAATTTTTTTACAACTTAAATTAAAACTTCTAATAATTTTTTTTCCCAATTAAAAACTATATTTCTATTTTTTTTATCGCTAGTATTTTGAATCTATCTCCAGTTTCAGGTTTGTTATATTCGATTATTTATTAACTTTATATTTATAATTTTAGAAAACCTATGGAAACTTTATATTTTCTAGGGGGTTATCTGAAATAACAAATAGATACTAAAGTTATTCACCTTTTCCCATCAAATTCCATTTTTACAAACAGATTTCAATATTCATATATTAACTAGCAACCAAATTTTGATCCTATGCTTTTGCGGAAAAAATAGGAATTGGAGCGATGAAAAAAATGGAATTGGCTAAAATATGGCTAAGCAAACCAATTGTTGATCAACCCAATGCAAAGACAGTTACCCATGATCTAAATTTATCCATTGGTATTGGTTCAGTTTATCGTTTCAAGAGGGAAATTTTCCCTGAATATTACGACGACCCTTTATCTGATTATATAATAAAACAACGAGGTCGGAAGAAAAAGGACATAGAAAGAACTTTAATATAATATAGCTTGAATTGTTTGATAATAATAACGGCTGTAACATCAAAACCATAATAAACACATACTGCCACATCTAAGGGTGAGCGGGTCGGCTATATCAAAATCTATTAAATCATTGGGTTGGAGCCGGAAAAGGGTTGGGAAATAATCCGATATTCGAAAGGAATATTATGACAAGATAAAAAATTTTTGAAAATGTATTCTTCCTGGGCGAGACAGGGTTTATACCCATATTATTTCGCACTATGAGTGGACACCCTTGGAAAAAGGTCATCTTTTAAGTTACCTCCCTACAAGGGAAAAATATATTAGTTCTATGCGCAATAGGAATAAGTGGATTTAAAAAATTTCACTATTATAGATAGGCTATAAAATTCAAAATATACCTCGATGAATTATATACAATTTTCCCATCGAATTCATTGCTAAAATGGATAATGCTCCTGTTCATCGAGCGAGGAATTAGTGGAAATTATCCAAATATCATATTTTTATACATTTGTGAGCAATAATGAATATGTCAGAGTTGTTAAACGCTATTTTTAAAAGTAGCGCGCTACCGATATAGCTTTTTGTTAAAAAAAGTAGCGCGCTACCGCTTTCGCTATTTGTCAAAAAAAGTAGCGCGCTATTAGCTACTTTTTATAAAAAAATTTTTAGAAACAAATGAAACAAATTTTTTTTATTTTTTTTTTGCTTATAATGTAAATGTATAATAAATAATATATAAAAATCAACATTATAAATATAAAAATATAGTTAGTTTAGATTATAAAAAAATAAGCAATATAAATAAATATTTATTTTAATTTGTTGCATTTTAATAATAATATCATTTCAATATTATCATCCCCAAGTCTAGAGCGACTATCAGAAAGTATAAGCTTTGCTTTACTAAATAATCTCTCGACACTAGCACTTGAGGGCAAGGAAGCTCTAAAAATATTTAATCAGATCAATTTATAAATATAAATAAGTTTTTACCTTCTGTTATGTGTCCAACTATCTGCCGTGGTACATACATAAGATATATCTGATAACTCTACTATTAGAGTATCTTTCATCACTTTGAAGTTGTCGTCTATTTTATTCATAAGTGTCTGGCGACATAAAACTGTTGTGCCAGGGGATAAATTTTAATCATCATAGTAAATGATGGATTATCAACCAAGGACAATGGCTGAACTGTGTCAATAATAAAATCAACAATTACTTTATCAGCCAATTTTTGTGAAATATTGGCATGTTTATTATCAGTTAATTTGGTTTGGATAGTATTTGTATTTTTGAATGAAGATTCTCCTATACCAAATTTTTTTATATGTTTCTCTATTTCCTTATAGCAATTGGCGTGAACAGTCTAATAAAATAAATAATATTATAATGTAAAAATAACAATTTACCTTTAGGTGTTTCTTCAGGTTATAGCTACTCGATTGATTTGATGATATATTTTTTTTACATTCCCTCTATTGCACCTTGTAAACCTGAGGCAACGTCTTAAATATTTTGCTATAAATATTGTTATAATTGATTTTACGATCTAACGCGCATTGTATATTCTAAGTAACATATATATTTTATAATAAAGACGTCAATCATGAACATAACATTATTTTTCTATCAAATATTATACATTTATTTTTCGCTTTTTATAAAATGGCTACCTTGAAAATTTAAATTTATTTATCGTATTTTGATTCGTTATAAATCATTTAAATTCTAGTGGAATTCTATAAATATTTTTAAATCTAGTAAAAATAATATCATTTTATATAATTATTATATTTTTATAAATTTTAACATAACAATACATTTTTTATTTCTGATAATATGGTATGTTAACTGAGGTTAACATTGCCCATTTAGACGATTTTTTTTATAATAAAATATTTATTGAAAATATTATCAAATAAATTTATAGCTCAATGACTAGTGATATAAATTATAGAATACCGGTAGATAGTGAGGATTCTCAATTGAGTGATTCGTCTGATGAAGAATATTTACCATGTGATACTGGTAAATTTAGTATTTCTTATGCTATAATAAATATTTTTAGGGGCAATTGAATCAGATTATTCGGATATTGAAAGCAATGACTCTGACTCAAGCCATCCTGATGATGAATTGTCAGGACGACGAAATATATGGAAATCCTCTTTAACTAATGTCCCACGAGTAGCCCCAGATTGGAAAGGCAGTTTACCCTTCGCCAATAAAGTTAAAAATCCGATATACTACTTCAAATTTTTACTGGGAAATATACTTCCTACAATAGTTCAACAATCAAATCTATATTCTATTCAAAAAGATATAAGCAGACCCCTTAATTTATTGTTAGATGAATTAGAACAATTCATAGGTATTTTGTTCTATATGAGCATTATAAATCTACCAAGAGCTCGTTTATATTGGACGGCTAATACTAGAATCGCTAATGTAGCTAACATTATGTCAGTAAAAAGGTGGGAGTTCATAAAATCATGTTTTCACATAAATGACAACACGAAAGCATGTCCTTTTGGGACTGATGGGTATGATGCTCTTCATAAAATACGACCTATGCTGACGATCACAACAAATATTTTAAAAGATATTACACTAGGAGAAAATCTATGCGTCGATGAGCAAGTTGTTCCTTTCAAGGGACAAAGTAAGATGAAACAATACAACCCCCAAAAGCCTAAAAAGTGGGGTTTTAAATTCTTTTTATTATGTGGAAATGATGGTATTGTTTATAATTATGAAATGTATATGGGGAAGATTCTCCAAGCCGAAGGTATGCCAGATATAGGAGCTTGTGGGAATTCAGTTCTGCGCATGGTTGTCGCAGTTCCATTGAATCAAAATTATAAGTTATACTTTGACAATTGGTTCTCTAGCATAAACTTACTGGTTATATTAGCGCAAAGGGGAATACAATGTGTATCAACGGTTAGGGCAAATCGCCTCAAAAATTGTGTTTTGCCGACAGATCAAGAGATCAAAAAAAAAGGAAGAGGAAGTTTTGTTGAAAAAAAAACGGTGATCAATGGAGTAGAATTATCTGTAATCAAATGGTTTGACAATCGTTCAGTTTATCTAATGAGCAGCTTTATAGGGGCCCACCCGATATCTGACGTGAAACGATTCGATAGAAAAAAAAAGGAAAGCATTAACGTAAAATGTCCAGCCATTGTTAAAAATTATAATAAAAACATGGGTGGAGTGGATCTTATAGATTCCCTACTAGCATTATATAGAATTCATATCAGGTCCCGAAAATGGTATCACCGAGTAGCCTTTCATATATTTGACATGATGCTTGTTAATTCATGGCTATTGTACCGGAGAGATTGTAACCTGTTACAAATTCCCAGGAAAGAGCAGGAGTCGCTCCTAACTTTTAAAATATCAGTTGCAGAAGTATTGTGCAAAGGAAATAAAAGCATTAATTCAGTAACGGGTAATAAACGAATATCGGTGCAATCGGAATATATAAAAAAGTGTAAAAAAGGTACAGCACAATGTTTACCAAATTCGGAAATTCGGAAAGACCAATTTGCACATTGGCCTAAGTATAATGACAAAAAGGTCAGGTGCAAATTACCAGGATGTAAGGGGATTACAAAAGTAGCTTGCGACAAATGCGGGGTATCATTATGTTTTACTCCAGCAAATAATTGTTTTACTATATTTCATAAAAACTGATTTTTTTGCATTTGTATATCATTTTTATACATTATATAATTTACATTATTAAAATAAAAATATTTTACCCTTATATGTGCGTTGTGTATTCTAGTTAACATACTGCAAAAAACTTAGAAATATTTAAAAAATTCGGGAAAAAATATCGTTTCCTTCTTTAGATATATATAGAGAGTAAAAAAATAATGAGTATTATAAATATTTCGCTTTAATTGATATAGCGTGCAATAGAGGGTTAAGCACAAAATTTGGATCCAGATTTTGTTTTAATATTTATTTAAAAAATTTTTTCAAATCTAGGGAATGGGAAATCGTTATTAGAGCTATTAAGTACATTTTCTTCCATTGAATCTTCCATGTCTGAATCACTTTCAAGAATTTGGATATCCATGGGCGATGCCATTTTAGATTATTAACACAGATTGAAAATATAAATTAAAAATTGAAAATATATTTAAATTTCCAAATTAAATAATAAATTATAAAAATTATAATTAATTATGATATTATATTTAAATTTTCATGTTTATACTTACATTCATTATATTTTTTAAAAGTAGCGCGCTAAAAAATTAAATAATTTTAAAAAAAGTAGCAGCTATTAGCTATAGCTACCAAAAAAGATAGCGCGCTAAGTAGCGAGCTACTTTAACAACTCTGATATATTAGTATGAAAAAATATCTTGTAAAAAGTTTTTAACAACAAAGGAATGTCTGAAACACAAAATTTTTATACTTTTTTCACCTAGAAGAAAATAAAATTAAAGTCAGAATTTATTCAAATTCTTCAGGTGATTTAATATGATATATTTTAAAATTTTTTATATATTATATTAAAGTTTTTGATTGTATTACATGCAATTATAGAAATTATTTAGTCAAATAAAGTTATAAATATGTTTAGAATATCCTACCACGTAATTTCGTGTGAAAATTAACCAATTGTTAAATAATCTACATCACCCCCCCCCCCCCCCCCCCACTCACTTTTCAGATAATTTTTTTAAATAATAAAGTAAGGGCCTTTCATTTAGACTTAATTTTAAAATAAATTATTACGTAAGTATATTTTAAATTAAATATGATGATATTTATGTTAAAATTGATCAATTTTAGGCACATAAATAAAGAGAACGAAAACGGACCGGACCTATGGATGGACCGATCTTTTTTTGGAAACCATAGTCCCTACCGGTCGTTTATTAATATTTAAGTTAGCTTGATTATATTTTTAAAATACCAAAAGAATAAAAAGACCAGTACGGAAAAATAATTCGAAAAAATACCTTTTTTTTTCTATATCCATTTCCAGTTTTGTACTTCCGGTTTTGGGTATTAATCGGGCTTCTATCACATTTATTTATATGTCATATTAAAGATCCATTATTAGGTTATATATTAAAGTTTTAATTATTGTTCCACTTAATATATTCTTGAGATATTTGAAAGTTAATGAAGTGCACTATGTCAAAAATGACCATTTTTCAACTCTTTAAACCCCTATGCTAGTAAGGGGTGTAAGGTAATAAAATTGCATTTTTTTAGGATACTAGCTAATAACCAGTCAAGAATGACGGGGTTGAGGGGTAATTAGTTAGTTTGTGTATATGCTACTAAATATGCTTTATATTAAAATTTAGGAGAAAATAGGTGAAATTGTTGCAATGTAACCCGTGAGCATTAAGGGTATTAGAAATATCAAAATTTAAATTTGTGATAAGAATCATATTAGGTAAAATTAAAAATAGAGATTATCGATATATAAAAAAAATTTAATATCTTCATGAACTCGATTTCGAAATCATAATTGCACATTTTCGCACAGCCCTTGGCAAAAAAAGTGCTTGATAGTTTGGAAGGAATGACCAAAAGGTTAGCAGCAAAAGATAGCCTTCAGTCTTCTTATGAGAAGCAGATATTAAATACTTTAGATTTATTTAATAAGTTAATTACACTGTTGTAAAAATGTAAAAATATTTTTAAACAAGGTTTCAAAGGCTAAATGGATTTCCGGAACATAAAGGTTTCACTATACCTCTTATGGAAAATATTTCCTCACCCTATTTTGGATATACTAACACGTTTGAATTCAACATACCAAATGCTTGAAAGGGCAATAATGCTCAAACCCTATTTGACAACATATACCAATCATTTACAAAATACCAATGAAGAAAATTATATTAGTGTCTTAGCCTGGAATAATATAGAAATGTACCGAGAATTTCTGGAACTATTTAATTTTGCTACAGAGATGGCCTTATGTGCTAATACTCCACCAATTTCAACAATTATTCCTTTATATTCCAGTATTTTTGAGCATATGGAGAGTTATAATAATAATCCTAATGCTATTTTAAAGACAGCTTCTTTAGCTGCCTTAACAAAACTTAATAAATACTATAATTTTAATAAACATCTATTTATTATTTCAACAATGATTGACATAAGGTTTAAACTATCAAGTCACTTATTAAAGCATAATAATATAGAAACTCTTATTGGATGTCTAACCAATTAATATAATATTTATAAAATAAATAATTACAATTCAGCCGAACATACAAATGAAACACAAAATAACAAAAAATTGTCCTTTTATGACAAAATATATCAGGTTAAACCTAGTCATAATAATAATAACTTAGAAAAAGTAAATATGTGGATGAAGCCACAATTTCCAATGATACAAATCCATTAGATTGGTGGAAATTAAATAAAAATAGATATCCAGTATTATCAAAAATTGCCAGAGATTATCTAGCAATTCCGGCCACCTCATCTAGCTCTGAAAGGGCTTTTTCAGAAGGACGGTATGTTATAACAGACCAACGTTGTTCACTAGATGAGTATACTATACAAGCTTGCCTCTGCCTAAAAAGTTGGATGCGCATGCAAGATTCTTCTTAAATACATAAAATTATTTTCTTATATTAAATGTATATCGCTCTACTATATTTTGTATAAATAGACAGTTATGTTACATTTTTAGTTTACTTATTTTGCTATATTCTTTGTGCTAAATAAAACGTTTCAAAATCAATACGTTTATAATTGTTGATACAAAAAATTTTGATTATACAAAAAATATATGATTAAAATAAAAATTTTTTATATTCACATTACCTAATTAATTCCTTGTTTAAAAAAAAAATTTGGATTCAGTAAAATTTTGAGAGTTGGTTCTTAGCCCTGTTTTTATGGTAATGCTTCATGATTTCCATGTTTATTTAAAACTAGAAATTAAGTGTTTAATAATCACTATTTCTATTCTTTTAATTAGTAATTTTAATTTAAACCAATACCAATATAAACCAATAGTTACCAATATAAATCAATAGTTACCAATATAAACCAGTAGCAATACCAATACAAGAAATAGAAAATATTGTTTAAACCAATACCAATATTTTAGACCCAATACCAATACAAAATTTTGTTTATATTGAGTTTTTAATATTGGTTCCCAGCCCTAGTTACAGTTATATTTCAAAAGTAACTAGTTACATAATGTTAAAGATGAAAAAAAAGTTTTTTTTTATCCTCCTGTTTTATTATGGTTAAGATGAAAAAGTTTTTTAATCCCCCTCTTTTGTTTATGTTAAAGATAAATAAAGTTTTTTTTAATACCCCTCCTTTGTTTACAATAAAATGAAAGTTATATAAAAAGGTTTCTCTTTTTGGTCCTTTGTTTTAAGTTAAACACAGTGAAAATAAAACATATGGCTTTTGTGTTTTCTCTCACTACTGGATTTCTTACTTTAGGAGTCCTCAGTAAGGTGATCCGAAAATATGAGTTAGACCGTTGGGTCCGGGAGACCACCCTGCATCCCAAGGTATATTTTGAGTTTCGGGAAGTTTAGGGGGGTAGGTTTTATCCCCAATTATGTACGATAAAACTAACACAACTCGGTTCCACAAAAACGTTCTTTTTTTTACTTTGCGCCAATTTAATTTTAATTTATAATTGCGCCTTTTATTTTCCCTATAAAAGGGACGAATTTTTTATAGTTTACATATACTTTATTTTTCTTCTGTAAATTAATGTTGAATTCTTTATAGTTTAGATATATTATATTTTTCTTGTAAAAAAAATTTCTTGATATTAAGGAAACAATAAATTAAACAATAATGTTTACGACTCGTTCTCAAAACACTTCACATAATAAGTTACTTTATACATCATTCATAAACACTTATTTATTTACTGAATATAAAAAAAATAGGATATAATAATTATAATCAATTATTTGAAAAAATATACAATTTATTTATAAAAAAAATAATTAAACCGAAAAAAAAATACGGAAAATAAAATATATTTATTAGAGACCTGCAGGCCCGGCCCTAAGCCCGGTCCGGGTACACAGGCTGAGACGTATTTTAATTTTTTTTTAAATTTAGGCTTTATTAGAGACCTGCAGGCCCGGCCTTAAGCCCGGTCCGGGTACACAGGCTGAGACGTATTTTAATTTTTTTAAAAATATACTCAGGCTGGGCCTGAAATTTTTTAAAAAATATCTAGGCCAGGCCGTATAGTTTAAAACCAAATATTTGAAATCGCTATTATTATCTATAAAAATCAAAAATAAATATAATATATTTATAAAAAATCCGGGCCGGGTCTAAAATTTTTTATTATTAGTAAGTAATGATTACTAATTTAGTAGTTTATTCAAAAAATATTTAATTTTTAAATAATTTATGTCTTTGTCGTTCCGTATATTAAGTTCTATGATCTAATTTAGTAAAATTAAAAAAAAAAATACATTTATAGGTAATTCCATAAATATTACCAGCAACTTGAGGGCAAAAAATATGGAATATATTTTGCTAAATAGGTAAAGAAATATAATATTAAAAAACAGGTTTATTAAAGCAATATAACAATTTAAGAAAAGAAAATTTATTTGGACGGGAAATTATATTATTATTGCATATCCTTTGTGAACACAATCAGACATTTAAACAAAATTTTAAATTAATAAATTTAAAAACAAAATATTTTCCTTGAATCGGACTGCTTGTAGTTTACAAAACTAGCTTTACCCACCTAGGTTCAC